GAGTCTATAGTTTTCCTGCAGTTGACCTATTAAGAAATCCACTAGGTTTTTCTTTAATATTCCATGTTCTGGAATTGTCTATGTTCTTTTATGGTGTCGTTTAACTTATTTTATCTCCATATATATCTTGTAAATTAGAAGTTAGCTCTAAAGGCTTGGTTTAAGCCAACTCTTTGGAGTTGGGAGGCAAAGAATATTTTGTAGGTGGTGCTGTGCTGGTACTTCCTATCCCATCACAATGGGAAGCACATAATGTGTGGATGTTTCACCCACTCATAGCAGTGCTAACTGAATTTGTGGGATTCAGGTGGTTTCAACTGGATGCCTCCATAAGAAAGTTTTGATCTGATGACTCACGAATTGATGATGATGTTCTGATTGCCATTCCTCCTATATTTAGTAGCTGGAATTCTTTCAAAGAACAACTTTGCCTCATCAGCTAGAGCTATTTGGTTACCCTGAAATACAGTCGGTATAAGAAAAGCAGTATAAATGATTTGTTCTTTCCCTTTGATTTGTTGGTATTCAGAGTAAGGAGTTGATGCCCTAGTTAATTTCAGTAGCGAGCAATAAGTGTTTTTTATTAGTATCATTATTAAAGATTTGAGTATTATTAGTCGAGATTTTTTAGTTTTCCATGGAAAGGTTTGTCTAGATTAACTAGTCCATCACTACCTGAAGCAGAAGCCTTTTTTTCTTAACTGTTTGTACATCATTATTGTTTCATTTTAGAAAGAGCATGTGTCTTAATTTTAATGAAGGTGAAAATATTAACCACTTTTCTAATTTTCAATTTTTCGTTAGTTGTGAGGTTTCATAGTTCACGTCTTCATTGGTCATTTGTATTTTCTCCGTTTGATTGTTCATGTCTTTTTGCTTTACCTCTGTTGATCTTTGCCTTCTTGATTTATGAGGCTTTTTGTCTGTTATGGATGCTAACCCTTTGTTTCTTGTTGCAATTTCCCCCCCGTAATGTATAATTTGCTTTAATTTTTTAAAGTTTTCTTTTGGTTAGGGTTAAAATGAATGTAAAGATTCTTTAATATAGATACTCTGCATAGCATGGTTGTCCTTACCTCAGTGCTATAAAATATCAACCTTTTTTCTTCTATTTTGTTTTTATGTATTTAAAGAGCTAATCCATATTAACATAGTTGTTATATTAATGTTTAGCTCCAGATAAATTGATAACTTGTATATTGCCATAAAATAATGTGTCTTTTTCCAGGGTAGGTCCTGCTGATGTTGAAACTCTTTCCACCTAATTGCTAGTGTTCCTAGGGGGCATATAGTAGCAGAAAAAACAACCTTGTTAAATAGGTAATTTATATTGATTTATGCTATATTAATTATGCAAAGGCAAAATTTAACAATACTGAGGCTGGGCACAGTGACTCATGCCTGTAATCCTAGCACTTTGGGATTAGGAGTTCAAAACCAGCCTTGGCAACATAGTAAGACCCTATCTCTACAAAAAATAAAAAAATTAGCCAGGTGTGGTGGTGCACACTTGTAGTCCCAGCTACTGCAGAGGCTGAGGCAGGAGGATCGCTTGAG